AGGCAAAAAAACTGCCAGGAATCTCAGTGCCACTGTTTCAGCCGGCTCAGTGAGCCACGGCACGAGAGATCCTGGCGCCTTTTCAACAGGCGACTGGAACACTGGGAGAGGGGCGACCGTTCAACAACAACAGCAACAAAAGACTCTGAGTCAGGGAGCCAGGTAATCAGGCTCGGCTGGTCCCACCCCAACCCCCCCCCACACACAAAAAAAACAGTAATTGAAAACGCTCTGGGTTGAGAGTTTCACAGCAAGCGCAGCTGAACCCGGGTTGGTCCGGCTCTGTGGGGAAGGGACGTCTGCCATTTCTGAGACACTCCACCACTAGGGAGGGAGCCTGACCATCACTGAGGCAGTCCGCCATTGCTGAGGCAACCCGGCAACCCGCCACTACAGAGAGAGTCCGCCATAACAGAGGCAGGCTACCATTGCCAAGGCAGTTCTTACTACACCCATATAAACAGGACTGCAGGGAAGATCACATGGCAGCTGGTCAGAGCCCACAGCAGCTCAGCAAAGCCTCTGCAGGCAGACAGTGATTAGGCTGCCTCCTCGCTGGGCAGGGCAGCCCTGAAAGAAAAAAAAAGGCAGCAGCACAACGGAAACTCATAAATAGAGCCCTAACTACCTGGGACAGAGCACCTGGGAAAAAAAAAAAGGGAGAGTTTCTGAGTTCTGCTGCAGCAGACCTAAACGTACCTGCCCAGCAACTCTGAATGAGCAACGGAGCTCATAGCTCAGGACTTGAGCTCCAATAAAGGACAGACCGTCTCCTCAAGCAGCTCCCTGATCCCCGTATATCCAAAGAGTCACCTCATAAAGGAGAGAACAGACTGACATTTGGCGGGCATCCTTCTGGGACAAAGATAGCAGAAGAGGAAACTGGTAGAAACCCTTACTGTTCTGCAGCTGCTGCAGATGATCCCCCTGCATGCAGGGCCTGGAGTGGACCTCAGCAGTCCTACAGCAGAGGGGCCAGACTGTTAGAAGGAAAGCTAAGAAAAAGAAGTAACTTCAGCATACACAAACTGGAAGTTCACTCAGAGACCCAATCTGAAAGTCACTAACTACAAAGACAACAGGTGAATAAACCCACAAAGATGGGAAGTAACCAGCGCAAAAAGGATAAAAACACCCAAAACCAGAACACCTCTCCTCCTAATAGGAATCACAACTCCTCACCAGCAAGGGATCAAGGCTGGATGGAGAAGGAGTGTGATGAAATGACAGAATCAGACTTCAGAAGGTGGGTAATAAGAAACTACAGTGAGCTAAAAGAACATGCTCTAGCCCAATGCAAAGAAATTAAGAACCTTGAAAAAAGATTTGATGAAATGCTAACAAGAATGGACAACATAGAGAGGAATATAAGTGAATTTATGGAGCTGAAAAACAACACGAGAGCTTCGCGAAGCATGCACAAGTTTCAACAGCCGAATTGACCAAGCAGAAGAATGGATATCAGAGGTCGAAGATCAACTCAATGAAATAAAACGAGAAGGCAAGAATAGAGAAAAAAGGGTAAAAAGGAATGAACAAAGTCTCCAAGAAATGTGGGACTATGCAAAAAGACCTAATCTACGTCTGATAGGTGTACCTGAATGTGACGAAGAGAATGAATCCAAGCTGGAAAATATTCTTCAGGATATTATCCAGGAAAACTTCCCCAACCTAGCAAGGCAGGACAATATTCAAGTCCAGGAAATACAGAGAACACCACAAAGATATTCCTCGAGAAGAGCAACCCCAAGGCACATAATCATCAGATTCACCAGGGTTGAAATGAAGGAGAAAATGCTAAGGGCAGCCAGAGAGAAAGGTCGGGTTACCCACAAAGGGAAGCTCATCAGACTCACAGCAGATCTCTCAGCAGAAACCCTACAAGCCAGAAGAGAGTGGGGGCCAATATTCAACATCCTTAAAGAAAAGAATTTTCAACCCAGAATCTCCAATCCAGCCAAACTAAGCTTCATAAGTGAAGGAAAAATAATATCCTTTGCGAACAAGCAAGTACTCAGAGGTTTCATCACCACCAGACCTGCTTTACAAGAGCTCCTGAAAGAGGCTCTACACATATAAAGGAACAACCAGTACCAGCCACTCCAAAAACATACCAAATGGTAAAGAGCATCAAGACAACGAAGAAACTGCATCAACTAATGAACAAAACAGCCAGCTAGGATCAAAATGGCAGTATCAAATGCACACATAACAATATTATCCCTAAATTTAAATGGACTAAATGCCCCAATCAAAAGACACAGACTTGCAAATTGGATAAAAAGCCAAACCCCACCAGTGTGCTGTATCCAGGAAACCCATCTCACATGCAAGGATACACAAAGGCTCAAAATAAAGAGATGGAGGAAGATTTACCAAGCAAATGGAGAGCAAAAAAAAGCAGGATTTGCAATTCTCATCTCTGATAAAATAGACTTTAAAGCAACAAAGATCAAAAGAGACAAAGAAGGACTTTACATAATGGTAAAAGTATCAATGCAGCAAGAAGAGCTAACGATTCTAAATATATACGCACCCAATACAGGAGCACTCAGATACATAAGGCAAGTTCTTAATGACTTACAAAGAGACTTAGACTCCCACACAATAATAGTGGGAGACTTTAACACCCCATTGTCAATATTAGACAGATCAACCAGACAGAAAATTAACAAGGATATCCAGGACCTGAACTCAGACTTGGAACAAGCAAACCTAACAGACATTTACAGAACTCTACACCCCAAATCCACAGAATATACATTCTTCTCAGTACAACATCACACCTACTCTAAAATTGACCACATAATTGGGAGTAAATCACTCCTCAGCAAATGCAAAAGAACGGAAATCATAACAAACAGTCTCTCAGACCACAATGCAATCGAGTTAGAACTCAGAATGCAGAATCTGAGAACCGCACACCTTCATGGAAACTGAACAACTGGCTCTTTAATGTTGACTGGATAAACAATGAAATGAAGACAGAAATAAAGATGTTCTTCGAAACCAACGAGAACAAAGACACAACATACCAGAATCTCTGGGACACATTTAAAGCAGTCTCTAGAGGAAAACATATAGCAATAAGTGCCCACATGAGATGGAAGGAGAGATCTAAAATTGAAACCCTAGCATCAAAATTGAAAGAGCTAGAGGAGTAAGAATCAAAACTACATTGAGATACCATCTCACGCCAGTTAGAATGGCGATCATTAAAAAATCTGGAGACAATAGATGCTGGAGAGGATGTGGAGAAATAGGAACACTTTTACACTGTTGATGGGAGTGTAAATTAGTTCAACCATTGTGGAAGACAGTGTGGCGATTCCTCAAGGACCTAGAAATAGAAATTCCATTTGACCCAGCAATCCCATTACTGGGTATATATCCAAAGGATTACAAATCGTTCTACTATAAGGACACGTGCACACGAATGTTCATTGCAGCACTGTTTACAATAGCAAAGACCTGGAACCAACCCAAATGCCCATCGACGATAGATTGGATAGGGAAAATGTGGCACATATACACCATGGAATATTATGCAGCCATCAAAAACGATGAGTTTGGGTCCTTTGTAGGGACATGGATGAACCTGGAAACCATCATTCTCAGCAAACTGACAGAAGAGCAGAAGATCAAACACCGCATGTTCTCACTCATAGGCGGGTGTTGAACAATGAGAACACATGGACACAGGGAGGGGAGCACTACACACTGGGGTCAGTTGGGGGGAAATAGGGGAGGGACGGTGGGGGGTGGGGAGTTGGGGAGAGATAGCAAGGGGAGAAATGCCAGATGTAGGTGATGGGGAGGAAGGCAGCAAATCACACTGCCACGTGTGTACCTATGCAACAATTTTGCATGTTCTTCCCATGTACGCCAAAACCTAAAATGCAAAAAAAAAAATAAATTAAAAATAAATAAGGGCCGGGTGTGGTGGCTCAAGCCTGTAATCCCAGCACTTTGGGAGGCCGAGGCGGGTGGATCACGAGGTCAAGAGATCGAGACCATCCTGGTCAACATGGTGAAACTCTGTCTCTACTAAAAACTACGAAAAATTAGCTGGGCATGGTGGCACGTGCCTGTAATCCCAGCTACTCAGGAGGCTGAGGCAGGAGAATTGCCTGAACCCAGGAGGCGGAGGTTGCGGTGAGCCGAGATCGCGCCATTGCACTCCAGCCTGGGTAACAAGAGCGAAACTCCGTCTCAAAAAAAAGAAAAAAAAAAATAATAATAATAAATAAATAAATAAATAAATAAATCTATACAGGGTATCCTACATGTGGTAAAATGAGAAGCTGAGGCATTTGAATAACTCAATTAAATTATATAATAAATGAAAAGTACCTGGAATAATGCCTGGCACATATTCAGTGCTCATCACATTTTAACTTTTATCACATGATTATCCACAGTAGTGTATTTGCTTGTTCTTGTTCTAATGAAAATTGTGAGTTAGGTGAATTACATCTCAAAGAATATTTTTCTTCAAAAATGTTCATTCCAGAAATTGGTCTTATTTGATCTTTAAGTCAACAACATGTGTGTGTATACATATGTGTGTGTGTGTTTGTGTGTGAAATCATATCAAAAAAGAATGGGGGACAATGGGAGGAGAGCTGTATGATGATTTGAATGATTGTTCAGCAATAGCTACTTTTCTTCTCCTCCCGTCATGGATAGAAATTTACTTCTTAGCCCTTTGATGCTGAAGTTGGTCATGTGGCATATTTTGGCCAGCTGAACCTCGGAGGATGGAAAATGTGCAGAGACCTAAGTGTGCTTGTATAAACTGGTTTGACATTCAATTCCAGTGATCACCCTGAGAAGAGCAGGCCCCATGAGAATGAGAGACATGTTGGGTGGGCCTGAATCTTGGCCTGTAGCCAAGCTGTGGGTGGGAGACCCTACAGGTGCCGAGGCAAGGGTCTGAAGCCTCAGCCTGTTCCCATGTAAATATGTAACTAGAAAAGAATTAGGGATATAGCTACATAGTTTTATACATATATATATGGCCATTTATAATCCCATGGGTATTCACATATAATATATATACTCAATGTAACCTTTTGAGTTTACTAATGATTATTGGGTTATGAAGCATGGAACTGAGGTAACAATGTGAGCAAAGTGATCCTAAGGCAAGATGCTCTAAGTCCTCTGTCACGCCCACATAAGGGCTGCTGGAGGGCACCTTGGCTGTGCCCAGCACCAGCGCTGGGAAAGCACCTGCTGTTTAGCCAGCTAGGGAAGGAGATGTCCAAGATGTCCGAGACTTCTTCTTCCTGGGGAGAGTTAGGAGAAAACTCCACTTCTCCAAGCTCTTATGGTAGGCCTGACAGCTGTCAGGGAGGCCCACAGACATCTGGGGACTTAACTGTCTCTATGTGGTGCTGTGCTTCAGTGGTCACGTTCCCCGTCCACTCTCATGCTCTGCTTCTGCACCTGGTTCCTCTTTTTCTTAAAAAATAAGAATCAGTAGTAGTAACACAAATCTTAATGTCTTTGTTCTTTCTTGACAAGTATGAGAAAAGTGCTGATGCATTAGGTTTTCTCCTCGCCTCGGCTGCTTGAAAGACCTGGGCCCCCTATCTCCAAGAGACATGATTTACCTGACCCTATCACTGACCACCATTACCTCCCCCTACCCACCCTGCCCCCTGCTTTGTACCCAATAAAAGAGCGTCTAGGCACTCAGGGCCACTGCTGGATTTTGCGCTTTGGCTGGCAGCGGACCCCTGGGCCTAAACTTTCTTTTCTCTTTTTCAGTCTCTTGTGTCTTTTATTTTCACAGTTTCTCATCTCCAAACCTGTAGAGAGGGCCTCACAGGACCCTGTAGGGCTGGACCCTACACCAAGCCCAGCTCATTATCGCCTGAAGGAGGGTTGCCCCGGTTGACCTGTGGACCACTGAGCATGAGAATACATGTTTATTAGTTGTAACCGCTTACGGTTTGGCTGTCTTGCTATGCTGCATTATTGAAGAAAATAATGCATTAATTGACTAATGTACTGCACCTGCATCTTTTTTATCTGGTGATCGGGACTGTGCTTCTCTGTGTTCTCAGACAATCCTACATCACACCATGCCTGTAGCTTGAACTTTGTGGACCAACTTTTATATGATTTCACAGTAACCTAAACGGAATCAGCTCTTCAGTTTTATAGGTAGAAGGTATCATAAAGTCATTTACTCTAACTTCATTATTTGATAGCTGAAGAAGGCAAGAGAAAAGGCAATTTGGTAAAGTCTCGCTGTTCTTAGAGGCTCAGAGAGGATCCAGGCATTCTTAACTGCCCTTCTGTGTGTCTTTTCATTTTGCCAAATGACTTTTAAGTTCATGAATTGGGTGTTTGCAGATGCTGCAAATCTACTTATAGCATTCGAAGAAGGGCCGATAAGCAGGCAAGGAGAGAAGGCAAAAGCCACAGGGAGTTGTGCTGATCAAAGTTGAAAGCAAAAGGTTGGTCAGGCATTTGCTGAGGCTGGAAATAAAGACTTTTCTGAAGTCTACAATCACTGGACTTGTTCAAAGAGTTTCTCTGGGAAGAAAAAGATGAAATTAAGCCGTGGAAATTTTTGGCCAAGTCATGAAAACACATTTTCCAAAAGAGCTGTTAATTTGATGGTGGAATGAGTCACAGCCCATGGGCAGGCCTGAAAGTCCCATCAACTGAATTACTGAAAACTTAACTGGACAATAAAAAATGTATGGTTAAGGCAACCATTCCTGAAGGGTTAGGCCAAAGAGACACGGTGTCCCTGTTTGAACTTTTTCTTTGTATTTTCAGGCCAAATTGACATGGAAAATTACCTGATACTTCAGATCATGAGAATAGCAGCGCCAGATTATTTCAGGATGGGAGGTGTTTCCCATTTCACTTGTCTTCAGGGTCAAATTCATTGAATGGTGACCAGACTTTGAATGTTGCTGTGATGGCAGGTCTGGCACTAACTAGTTGATAGTTGGAAAATAAAGTTTCTCACTGAACTTAAACCTTGAATTTCCCAAGTTATAGAAAGGTGTGATACTGTTTAATAGCAATGCTATCCGAGTGGAGCTTGCTAAATAGAAGTGGCCAAGACTGGTATTTAAAATCTGGTTTTATAAGCATTTATCTTTAGATGTATAGTGGTCCTTTCACTACCTCTTTCTTCATTATTTGATTAAAAAGAAAAAAATGAGGTGTGGTTCTCACATCTTGACAAACTGTAAAAGGCCTGGTGGCTCAGCTCAACTGTACCTCCTCAGGGAAGCCCTTCCCACTTCCTTGATTCAGGGAAGGTAGGATGCTGGCACTGATTAATTCCTCCTTTTTTTTTTTTTTGTTACCCTGTCACCCAGGCTGGAGTATAGTGGCTTGATCTTGGCTCACTGCAACCTCCGCCTCCTGGGTTCAAGAGATCCTACTGCCTTAGCCTCCCAAGTAGCTAGGATTACAGGTACCTGCCCCACTCCCAGCTGATTTTTATATTTTTAGTAGATACGGGGTTTCTTCATGTTGGCCAGGTTGGTCTTGAACTCCTGGCCTCAGGTGATCTGCCTGACTTGGCCTCTCAAAGTGCTAGGATTACATGCGTGAGCCACTGCACAGGGCCCAATGAATTCATCTCTCTCAGGGCATTCATTTCAGCCTGTAATTATACATTCATTGATATGATTATTTCATTAAAGTCTGCCTTCCTCATTAGTCTGTAAGCTTCTTACTTAGAAGAAGCCTCAACAGGCATCTTTAATTCCAAGGGAAGATGAACCCTCTTGGTTTTCATTTACAATTTCCTTTTGCTTAGGCTGAGCATGGTTTCTCATGCCCGTAATCTCAGTACTGTGAGAGACTGAGGAGGAGGATTTCTTGAGTCCGGGAATTTGAGATCAGCCTGGGCAACATGATGAGACCCCATCTCTACAATAAATAAATAAATGAAAAATTAGGCAGGCGTGGTGGCATGTGCCTGCAGTCCTAGCTACTTGGGAAACTGAGGCAGGAGGCTTGCTTAAGCCTAGGAGTCTGAGGCTCTACCATTGTACTCCAGCCTGGGTGACAGAGTAGCAACTTCTTTCAAAATAAATGATAGAATAAATTTAAAAATAAAAAATACTTTATTTTTCTTTATCAAGCATCTATCTATACCACTTCTTGTGTATCTCCTGACATAGGCTCTTCAGAGGCTAGTAGTTGTCCTCAGGCTAAGTTCAAACTGCTGCATGTGCCCTGAAGACTTCCTATGCCATGGGCTCTTGCTACCATCTGGATTCTTCCCTTTCCTCCTACTTCCTACCAGGAACTCAACCTTCCGGCAGCCACTGAGTATTTTCCATTTCTCCAATGGAAGGCAGTGACTGCACTCTACCTTTTCCTCCTACCTCTGTCTTGCCCACCTTTCTCTCAGTTTGTATTAGTTTCCTGTGGCCACAGTAACAAATTACCACAAACTTGGTGCTCAAAACAACGTAAATTCATTCTCTCACTGTTCTGGAATCCAGAAGTCTGAAATCAAGGTCTCCACAGGACTCTATTTCCTCTGGAGGCCCTAGGAAATAATCAGGTGCTTGCTTCTTCCTGTTTCTGAAGCTGTCAGCATTCCTTGGCTTCTGGCCACACCCCTCTGCTGTATTTTCACATTGCCATCTCCTTTTTCCGTCTATTTTACAAGGATACTTGCTATCTGATAAGAGCCCACCTGGGTATTCAGGATTATCTTCTCATCTCAGGATTTTAAATTATATCTGCAAAGACCTTTTTTCCACATGTGGTAATATTTATAGATTCCAGGGATTTGGGTGAGGGCATACCGTTTTTTTTTTTTTTTTGGAAGAGGCACCATTCATCTCCCTACAGGCTTTTATTTTATTTATTTTTTAAATGAATCGAAATGACTTTTTTTTTCTCTGTAGTGGTTAATTGCCCTTTGTCATATTTGATTAAAAACATTTTTGGCAATCGGTGGTTTGTCTTTTAATTCACTTATGTTATACTGACTTGCAGTCCTGTAGAGTTGATGCCAGACTAGGTTATTCTTGAGTTACACTACAATGCCCAGAATTAATTAAGAAGAATCTCATCCTTATGCACTTCTCTAGAATAAAGAGAATCCTATCCCTAATGTTCACAACATGTTTCCTATTTTCTTTTTGTATCTTTCCAGTTTTCTCACACCCTATGCTCCTCAAAGACCTAATTCTCCAAAAATTCCCCTCTCTCATCAAAGAGTCTTTTTTCCCTTTTTAGAAATAGCAGGGAACTTTGAATAGGGGCTGCAATTCACTCGGTATAAAGACTTGTTAATTTTGTTAGGTATGATACCATGGAGATTATGTTATGTCCTTATCAGTAGAGATGCACTCTCAAGTATTTGAAAGTAGAATTACATGACTTCTGGAATTTGCTTTTACACACTCCAGCCAAGAAAGGAGTGGTGGTGGGAATTACATAAAATAAGATCCATACAATGTAGAAAAATATAGTTAGTGATTTATCCATGGGGGATCCATTATACTTTTCTCTCTACTTTTGAATATGTTTGAAGATATCCCTTTCGCCTGCCAACCTGTTCACAGCTTTTACTGTGCAGATTATCCTCATGTCTTCCTAACTCCTCACCCTCTGGTCTCATTCTTCTCTATCCAGTTACTCATTTCGTACCCAAAACTCTTGGAGCAAGCAATGCTGAGCCCATTACTTCTTAAAAGGAAGTAGAAAAGAGAGGACCAAATCCCTTTGGCAGGCATGGGGAAGTCCATGAACATTCTCATATTAATAATTTTTTTATGTTACAATACAAATTTTTGAGCTTCACCTAGTGAAATCTATAGATCATGCCTTTTGCATCTTCAATGATTACTTCAAAGCTTGATAGGATGTTTCTTCCAGAGTTCTGATATTTAATAATTTTTTGCATTTAGTTCAGATATTATGCTCTCATACTCATTGATATCTTTCTTTGATATTTTAAAGGCATTTATTCAAATCAACAGAAATTATTTGAGGACCTGCTGTACTGTGGGTGCCATGATGAGAAGGAGGAATGTAGAAATAAAGCCACAGATCCAGACATTAAGGCTGTCAATGTACAAGGGAGGATAGATAAGAAACAAATATGAGGCATATAACGCAGTAGGTGGAAACATGTAAGTTTGTATACACCTCAAAACTAGCATCAAGGAGGAAAGCATTTAAACCTTTACATTTATAAAGCTGATATTTGAGGCCCTGCAATGAGCTCTCTACATAATTTATGTTCAATGCTCATAACAACCTTTCAAGAAAGATGTTATTACCATGCAGAAGAAGAAATGGAGGCTCAGGAAAGTTAAGATCTTGTCCAAGATCACAGTTAGTAAGTGGTAGACCTGAGGTCCTTTTCACAGTTTTCTTTTTTGAGTACTTGAGTTGTCAAACATTTCCTTTAGTTGATACTAACTTTTAAACAGTATGCCGGGCATGGTAGCTCATGCCTATAATCCCAGCACTTTGAGAGGCTGAGGCTGGGGTAGCCCTCGAGTACAGGGATCCAAGACAACCCTGGGCAACATGGTGCAACCTTGTCTCTAAAAAAACCAGAAAATTAGCATGGCATATTCCCAGCTACTTGAGAGACTGAGGTGGGAGGATCCTCAAGCCCGGGATACTGAGGGTACAGTGAACCTGCACTCTAGCCTGAGTGAAAGAGTGATACCTTGTATCCACCCCTACCAGAAAACCAAAAGTAAAATGAGGCCATTTAACTTTTAAACTGTTCTCTAAAGAGCAGGCTTACTGTTTGTGTTGTGTAATTCTAATCTTTTAATGTTATTTTAAAATTATTTGAAATCATTATTTTTCAGCATACTAGATCAAAGAACCAAGCATTTAAGACCAAGGAAGACAGTGGGTTTGTCATAAATAGCTCTTATTATTTTGAGATACGTTCCATCAATACCTAATTTATTGAGGGTTTTTATCATAAAGTGGTGTTGAATTTTATCAAAGGCCTTTTCTGCATCTATAGAGATAATTATGTGGTTTTTGTCATTGGTTCTGTTTATATGATGGATTATGTTTCTTGATTTGCGTATGTTGAACCAGCCTTGCATCCCAGGGATGAAACCAACTTGATTATGGTGGATAAGCTTTTTGGTGTGCTGCTAGATTCAGGAAGCAATGGCAACAAAAGCCAAGATCGACAAATGGGATCTAATTAAACTAAAGTGCTTCTGCACAGCAAAAGAAACTATCATCAGAGTGAACAAACAACCTACAGAATAGGAGAAAATTTTTGCAATCTATCCATCTGACAAAGGGCTAATATCCAGAATCTACAAGGAACTAAAACAGATTTATAAGAACAAATAACCCCATAAAAAAAGTGAGCAAAGGATATGAACAGACACTTCTCAAAAGAATACATTTATATGGCCAACAAACATGGAAAAAAGCTCATCATCACTGGTCATTAGAGAAATGCAAATCGAAACCACGAGATACCATCTCAGGCCAGTTAGAATGGCGATCATTAAAAAGTCAGGAAATAACAGATGCTGGGAGGATGTGGAGAAATAGGAACACTTTTACACTGTTGGTGGGAGTGTAAATTAGTTCACCCATTGTGGAAGACAGTGTGGCGATTCCTTAAGGACCTAGAAATAGAAATTCCATTTGACCCAGCAATCCCAATACTGGGTATATATCTAAAGGATTATAAATTGTTCTATTATAAAGACACATGCACATGTATGTTCATTGCAGCACTGTTTACAATAGCAAAGACCTGTAGCCAACCCAAACGCCCATCGATGATAGACTGGACAAGGAAAATGTGTCACATATACACCATGGAATACTATGCAGTAATAAAAAAGGATGAGTTTATGTCCTTTGCAGGAACATGGATGAAGCTGGAAATCATCATTATCAGCAAACTAACACAGAAACAGAAAACCAAACAATGCATGTTCTCACTCATAAGTGGGAGTTGAATAATGTGAACACATAGACACAGGGGGGAACATCATACACCAGGGCCTGCTGGAGGGTGAGTGACTAGGGGAGGGAGAGCATTAGGAGAAATACCTAATATTGATAATAAATTGATGGGTGCAGCAAACCACCATGGTACGTGAATACCTATGTAATAAACCTGCACATTCTGTACATGTATCCTAGAACTTAAAGTAGAAAAAAAAAAACAAAAAAACTGACCAAGGAGACAGCCTCTCTGGGATGAAAATGGGGACTTCCAAGGAAGTCATGCATCACAGTAAATTTCACATGGACTATGTATTCATCAATTTATAATACCATGAAAATACTCAAAAGAAATATAGGTAATTCCGTAACTTCTGGATGCATACTACTTTTCTGAGCAAATAAAACAAAAGCAAAACCAGCAAACAATGGAGGAATTACAAATGTAAAAGAACATACTAATTTACCAACATATTGACAATCTCTACATGTCAAAAACATATGCCAAGTTAAAATGCAAATGAGAGTGGGGAAAGATTTTCAATGCAATTACCAAGCTTTGATATCCTTAATAAAGAGTCAATGTTGCTCTCCAATGTACCCAGCTCCTTACATTAACAGGGGCTAAACAAAGAATTAATTAGACCATATCCTTCTCCCAGTACATTAAACAGGATCACCAACAGCAGTGGGAAGAAAAAGCAAATTATTAAAAGTTGGTGGCAAAATCCCTATTAGAGAAGAAAGCTGTCTTGTATTTAGAAAAGTCATTTATAGATCATTTAGTTCTGACAAGCTCTATTTTGTTTTCTCCTTATATTTCTACATAATTGGTATAATCTCTGTAACAAAATGTAATACTTTTCAAACCAAAAGAAATTAAACAGTTGTTCTGAAAGATTCTCCGACCACTTGATGCTGCCCACCCACATATGTCTGTGCTTGTTGTCACCCTCCTCACTATTTTCTCCATATGTGCCTCCTTATAAAATTCTTGCAGGGAACAACCCAGATCAGTCTCTGTGATAACACATTTATTTTGTATTATTAGGTTGGTGCAAAAGTAATTTCAGGTTTTGCCATGATTTTCAATAGCACAAACCGCAATACTTATGCACCAGCCTAATACTCTTGAGGAGTCTGTGAATTAATTGGGCTCAGCTGGGCAGCTCTTCTGTTTCACATGGAATTGCCCATAGTCAAAGACATCCAGAAGCTAATCCAGGTCTGGAACCTGCAGGATGGCTTTCTGTCACTGGTACCTGGTTTGGCTGTTGGCTGTGAATTCAGCTGATGTGCCTGGTCTTCTCCGTGTTGGCCTCTCTATGAAACTGTTTAGGCTTTCTCACATCATGGTGGTGGGATAAAAAGAAGGAGCCTTCCCAATATATAAACAAAAATGTTGTAAGTCTCTCAGTACTTAGACTTGCATGTTACTGTATTAGTCAGGGCTCTCCAGAGAAACAGAACCAATTGTGTGTGTGTGTGTGTGTGTGTGTGTGTGTGTGTGTGTGTGTGTGTCTGCCTGTGTATGTGTATCTGTGTGTGTGTACATATAAAGAAATTTATTAGAAAATATTTGCTCATGTGATTACAGAGTCCCAAGAGCTTGTAGGCTGGAGAACCAAGAGAGCTGCTGGTGTCTTTCCAGTCCAAAGGCCAACAGGCTGGACACCAGGGAAGGGCTAATATTTCCGTTAAAGTTCCAAGGTGGAATAAAACCAATGTCTCAGCTCAAGGAGTCAGGCAAGAGAAATTCCCTCTTATGAGAAGATCAATCAGCCTTTTTGTTTAATTCAAGTCTTTAATGGATTGGATGAGACTTGCCTACATTAGAGGGGGCAATCTGCTTTACTCAGTCTCCTGATTTAAATGTCAATCTTATCCAAAAAATTCCTCGTGGCACACTCAGAATAACATCTGACCAAATGTCTGGGCACCTTGTGGGCCAGTGAAGTTGACACATAAAGTTAACCATTGTGGTTATGTAGGTCACTTCTGCCACAAGCTATCATAGCCTCTGAGAAGCCCCGATTCAAAGAGACTCTACTTTGTAAGAGTCTGTGTCCTTTACCACAGAAGGGCCATGAAATCTGCAAAAAATGTGGATGACTGGATCTTACCTCATACCTAGTAATTTAGAATCAAGAAGATGAGGCCGAGGGATCTGCATTTTTACAAAGCTTCCTTGAATATTATCATTCCAATCATAAAGGACTCATGTTCTGGGCAATGGGAAGCAGTCTGCCTATGGATTAGAATTCTTCTCCTATCCACATTTTTTCTTTAGGATCCAGACCTTTGTATCTGGCGGTACTGTCTCTGCCTTTATCTTTATCTCTGCTTTTCTTACCCCAGCGTCAGTATTATCATCTCAACAAGAACCCATTTCGTTATACAAAAGCATGGTACTTTCTCTTATTTATTGTTTGGCCATTTTCTTTTCAACCTTGAGAGGTTTAAAATAAACTCTTAAATCTTAGAATATTTTATAGAAAAGTTGCAAAGATAGTATAGAGTATGCCCATATACTCCTTACCCGTTTTTCTCTATCTCTAGCATGTAAGCATGGTCCATCTCTCAAGACTGATACAGTGATATAATTACTATACTATATAGTAATAGTAATTATAGACTCCAAATAAAGTCTGTAATTTAGTGAATAGAATAGTATAACTCACATTATACTATAATATATTCACTATAATATATACATATATGTGAACATAGTATATAATTATAGTCACATTATGTTATACTGTTCACCAAACTACAGACTTTATTTGGAGTAAACTAGTTTTTCCAGAGTGTCATTTTTTCATATTACATGATCAAATCTAGGAAATAAATTTATTTAGTCATTATGTCTTCTTAATCACCTCTGATCTATGGCAGTCTCTCACTTCCCTTGCTTTTTCATGATAGTGACAGTTTTGAAGACAACCGGTCAAGTGTTTTGCAGAATGCTCCTCAGTTGGGGTTTGTCTATTTTTTTTTTTAATGTGATTGTAATCCAGCCATGTAAAAAAATCTAATTAGGGCTTTTGTGATCAGGAGGAAGAACTCTACAGAGGTGAAATGCCCTTCTGGTGATATCATATCATATCATGTCATGTCATATCATGTCAGGAAATACATGAGGTCAAAATAACTTATCGCTGGTGATAGTAACATTCATCACTTGGTTAAGGAGGTGCCTGCTGGGTTTCTCTACTATAAAGTTACAACTTATCTCTCTCCATATTCCATTCCTTGAAACTGGGTCGGTAAATCCAGCCACACTCAAGGGGAGGTGAACTAAACTGTACCTCATGGAGAAGAGAGTATTCACATATATTACTGAGAATTACTCTGTAAGGAAGATTTGAAATAGTATATATTTTGTCATTTGGATCCAGGAATTTCCAAAGTAGGGACATTGAAGAAAATGAACAGTTATAGCAGTGTTGCTAAGGACAAACTGAGGTCGACTCCCTCCAACCTGTACAGTAATTATATGCCTTTTTTATTTACCTAGGCCTATAGGAGCTGTCTCTAGGATCTATCCAAATATCCCTTGCTGGCTTGATAAAAATTGTTTCCTGAATCCTAAGGGTCCCCAAGTGAGCTGCCTAAACCAGACTTTTACCGAGTGAAAAAGACCATACCACAAAAAGTACAATTGCCAGCGTTTCCATGGAAATCGGAATACAAAGGGGCGGTTTGCCTGGAGAGGTCTGTTTATTTTATTTTATTTTATTAAAACTATCAAGAATAACCCTTTGAGATGTGACGTTCTGTTTTCACAAGCGCACTCAAGGTGTCAGACAGAGCCCAATTTTATATTCCTTGAAAATAGAGTGTGCTGTCGTGTTTGCCGTGCTTTTCAACATGTCACTTTCAACCAATTTTATGTACAAATGGGTTACAGTCCCACGAAAATATTCAGAAAAAGAGGAAACTGTTTCAAAAAGAAGTATTAAGTATTACTACATCGAAAGCCATTCAGAGTGGAAAACCTTCCCACCCGGCTTCCAACCTTCCTGGGGACCAAGGAACCAGAATATTTGTATAAAATGGCAGAGTCCCTTTTTCCAACCAGTGGTCTGAGGGGAGCTGCTTATTAAACTGGACATTCTTCTACCCTCCTTTAAGATCATGCTTGCTTTGGTGATGTGATCTTGGAGACACTGTCAAAGGAAGACTTGTCTCCTTCCCTGTTGCCATCTGAGTTTCAGTTCTCTCTCTCTCAATATGGCTCCGGGAGGCATGGGCTTGCCCCAGACCAGATCTTCAGACCTGGGGAGAATTTATTACATGAGATTTATTGAGAACGTTGGATTACAGGGTATTCCAGGAGTCATTTCCATCTCTGAAATAACATATTCATTTAGAGTGCCGAGGGTTTACTTCTTAGATCTGTCATTTTAAAATATGTTTCCTCTTGCACCGATGCAGCTTTGATGCAACCACGTCTGAGCAGCAGGCTTTCAAGGCAGTATCAAGACAAGAAGGGGAATAATTTAAGGTGACAGGGCCAATTTTGAAACAGAGGCCCAGTGTTTCTTATTTTGAGGACTTGGCTCAAGCTGAGGTACTTTGTGGCCTCTAGAGCTTCTTGGAGGCTTTCTCAAGTTTTAGTCTCTACTCCCAAGAAAATCAGTCTTTCTACCAACGGCACAGATGGAATCTTTGCCCTGAGCAGATTTCACAGACTTCAAATCTGGGATACCAGGTGAATTAGGTGAGGTTTTTGTTGACTTTTCTGACTTTATTTTTCCCTCTTGGCTGACTCTTTGCGTTGTAAATATTTTGTGCACTTGTATCCTGAAGTACACATGTAATTTGTACTTCAAAATAAAATGTGCCCAACATTTATCTCACTGACTTATTTATTGAAGTGAGAATCAGAAATGGAACCACCATGGCCAACAGCTGGAGGAATCGTGACCCAGGTGAAGTCACTCTTTCCTTCCTACACGCATTTCCTTTTTTTTTTTTTTTTTTTTTTTTTAACTATCCAGGCACATCTGTTGTAGTGCCTTAGGTAGTGGCCCCCTGAAAAGCTATGTTCAAATCCTAGCCCCCCAGTGCCTGCAAATATGACCTTGTTTGGAAAAAGTGTCTTTGCAGATATAATTAAGGATCTCAAGATATGATTATTCTGGATTAACTGAGTAGACTATAAATCCAGAGACATGTGTCTTTATAAGAGACAGAAGAGAAGGCATAGATACAGAGGAGAAGGTGAAGTGAAGATTCATGGGAAGATGGAAGCATGGATTAGATTTGTGCTTCCACAAGCTAAGGAACACCTGATATCCCCACAAGCAAGAAGAGACGAGGAAGGATTTCTCTCAGGATCTCCAGAAGGAAGCAATCCTGCCAACATCTCCATTTCAGACACCTGCTTTCAGAACTGTGAGGGAATAAGTTCCTGTTTTCAGCCACTAAGTTATGGTAATTTGCTCGGGCTGCCATGGGAACTTAGGACACCTGTGCTCTCAGCCTCACTCTTATCACCACTGACTCCTGGGAAACCTGTTTTATTCATTTACTTTGCACTTACCATAGACGAGGCTCTGGAAGCATACATATCAATATGGGAAGTCAGTGACTTTGAGGGGCTTATACTCTGGGAATGATGGAAAAGGGAAATGGGCTTCTAATAGCCTTAATAAGCTGCATCAGACACCTGCCGATGCCTAGGCTCACCTGTGCCTTTATACCTCTGTGCCTTTCCTATGAAAGGATTTCTCAGCCTCGGCGCTACCGATGTTTGGGAAGGACACATTTTTGTTTGGGGGCTGTTCTGTGCATTGTAGGACACTTGGCAGCATCCGTGGCCTTTACCCACTAGAGACCAGTAAGCAAGTCTCTTCTTCTCTGTTGTGGCCATCAAAAATGTATTCAGACCTTGCCAAATATGTATCCCCTGGGGGAGCAAGGCTGCTCTTGGTTGAGAACCACTGGCCTATGGCATTTCTCTACCTGGAATGCCCTCTCACCATTGACCAGCTGGCAGGCTCTTGAAGCTTTTATTGATTCTCAAAGCTTGGTGCCTCTTCTCCTTCATTCTTGTGGCACTTTGTGAGTGTCAACTTGATTGGATTGAAGGATGCAAAGTATTGATCCTGGTTGTGTCTGTGAGGGTGATGCCAAAGGAGTTAAACATTTGAGTCAGTGGACTGGGGAAGGCAGACCCATCCTTAGTCTGGTGGGCATCATCTGATCAGCTGCCAGAGAATATAAAGCAGGAAGAAAAAACGTTAAAATGTCAGACTGGTCTAGCCTCCCAGCCTACATCTTTCTCCCGTGCTGGATGCTCCCTGCCCTCAAACGTCAGATTTCAAGATCTTCAGTTTTGAGACTCGGACTGGCTCTCCTTGCTCCTCAAGCTTGCAGACAGCCTACTGTGGGGCCTTGTGATCATGTAAGTTAATACTTAATAATCTTCCACATATATTTATACATATACTTACATACATATATATATTCCATTAGTTCTGTCTCTAGAGAACCCTGACTAATACAGCAGTGATCTTACTTTCTGCATCTTTCTATCTGCACCTCTGCCTTCGTGCAGAGTTTTTCAAGAAGAGGAGTGTGTCTTTGCGTCTCTGTTTTCTCCTGCACTTAATGTTTGTTGTGATAGATGGAAAGACCTACCAGAATCACACTGTGAGGCCCCAGAAGGAGACAGATATTCAAGACCCAGCCACTGAGCACTTCATTGCTTGAAAGGGCTTCCTCCGCACCTCACTGTAGCCTGTGAGGCACTGGACTGAGTCTTGTGTGGACCCAAAGGCTTCTTTTGTGCCGCTGGCCTGAGGCCAGCAATTTGAGCAGCTTGGGCAGTTTGTGAGATCTCTTTTCCCCAAGCCAGCATTCCCCAAGCTTGTTCTGTGGCTCAGTAGCCCCTTGAGAGGGTCCTTGAAAAAAAGGATTTCCCTCTCAGAATTTCACACTACATAATAGTAAAGATTAAAGATTAAGATATTAGTTTCGCATTACTTGGATCAGTTTTCTAAACTTATTGGACCATGACACCTAAAGCACCTAAGAAATCCGTGTGTTACAATATAAATCTAACAAAATGTTAACTTATACCCACACCCCAATCTGATCTAAGGTGCATTATTCCTAGATTTAAACTAACATCTAGAAGTCAAGATTTTACATAAAAAGTGTTTTCTGAGGCTTTAATTCTTTTCCCATTTGGTATGAATTGTCTGCAACTGAATGGTGTCTGCTAAGTTGACATGAGAAAAGTGTTCTCTGGGTCATCTAAATCCCCACCATTCCCTTTGATTTATCTCCTGACAGATGCCTCTTATTACATA